GGAACGTATTAGCCCGGCTCAGACCTGGAAAATGCAGTCACGTGCGGGAAAATGGCCAAATTTCACCCGGGCGAATTTTTGTTATCAAACACTGGTAAAAACTCGGTCAAACCTGGAAAATCGCATTTTCCCGGGAAAATAAGGTGTTTTGCCGGTTATCAAACACATCCTATGAGTTTCAAGTTATACCATCAAAGTTTAAACTCTTGCAACTAACTTTTTTAAAATTTAAAGTTGAATATCACAGCCAATTTTTGTTTTTCCTGAACACTTAGTTGGCACGTGGACTTTGATTGTTAAACGAAAATCCTTCATCTTCCATTCATTCTTATAGTTTCACTTACCCTTAAAGTTGATGCTAAACAAAATGTTTGACTGTTTGAGATTCTGTTTTCACCATCGAAAGCTATACCTTGCATGAAATGTTGGACCTTTAGTGTCTTCATGCTTAGTGTACTTGAGTAGGCCCTTATGGTTGGTGTTTCTCAACATGTTTGATATTAACCATATCATTAAACCTTCTTATTAAGTGAAGTTTAAATTAGACCAGAATTACTCATACTGTCATACGACTCGATTGCTAATAATTTATTTGGAGAGCTACTAATCATTCTATGAAGCTTCTTTAATGTTAATGAATGTAGAAAAACATTTAGTTCCAGTCTCGTGATTGGATTCATTCTAAAAAGTCTCCTTCCTTGGACAGTTATATGTGGCACGTGTAGTATATGTCAGTTTGGGACTTGTTTCTGGACAAAGTCACCATGGCTGTGTGACTGTTTCATGCCAGAATCACTATGATCTTTCTATTGATAGGTGTTTAGTGCCACTGGACGTGGCAGCACCTCTTAACAATGAGTTCTGCTTCTGTAGTGTTGAAAGTTATGAATCATGCCATTTTTTGGGGTCTTTCGCGGGAGGAGGGGGGGGGGCACAGGATGTTTAACGGCAAGAGCATGGCAGAGGAGCAGATCATTAATGATATTGAACTTGTTGCTTGGAATTGGATACTGACCAATCATGCAAGTGATAAGGGTTGATGGCTTTATTTTAGGATGCAAAATTGTAGTCTCATCCCGTAAAATGAGTTGAACTCTTGGGAAATGATTTAGATGTGAAACTCTCCCTCACATAAATATTAGTACGACCACTATCTTACTGTACTGGTGAAAGAAAAAAATGATGTTAGTCTAAATCCTGTAATTTAATACCATATGGATGCTTGAGGCCAATGGGCAGTTGACTTCATAGATTACAGACAATTACTTTGTAGGGTATCAACTTTTCAGGAGGTTTCTCTCCACTGTGTCTTTGAAGTGTAAAAAAGAGTACTTGACATGCTCATCAACCCAAGATACTACTAACTATTCACTAGTGGAACAGATAATAATCAATATTTCGGTATACACATGCAAATAGTAATTTCAGACCATGTGTGCAAGAGTGGTAGTGACTATATTAGCCAACTTTGTAACTTTTCATCATTTGAAAAATCAGTGAGGTTGGATCGTGTTCCTGAGACTTGTATCTTTAATAAGTTTGCATTTATAATATTATGTAGTGTGTGCATTCTTTACCATCTTAGGATAATCCATACCATTGATAATCTACCTAAGCAGTGAAAAGGTATTGTTAATTTATTTCTTTTGTGCACCGTTGATGGAGAGTCCATTAGCCATATGTTGATTTTTTTTCAGTTTTCCATTTTCATTTGGGTTTACTTCCTTAGGTCAACTTGATTACAGTGGGTGGTTCCTGAGTCAGTTAGTGATATTATTTGGATATGGCATACACTAGGGTCTCCCTCTTAGGCTAAGGAAAGGGTATGGAGTATCATTCCGTTCGAGGTACTTTGGGGAATCTGGTTGGAACAGAATCGGAGGAACTTCAAGGGCCTAGTTTGTGATGATATGATACCATTATCAGCATGAAGGGGTTACTTCTCCATTTGTTTCAGAGCTGGCAGGACTACAGGAGTATTCCATTCGCAGCATTTGTATTTTCTCAAGAGTCGGGGATTGTAGGGGCTTGATGCTTGATTGGAGTATGTAGTTATTCTTATTCTTT